AAAATTCCTTGCAACACATTCGTTTCGTTTCTCATTTCTTTGCATTATTTATTTGTTTGTTTCTCGTTTTATGTTTACTGTGTATTCCATTTTAATAGTTTATTGGCGATTGTTCATAAAGGAAAATGAAAAGTACACCTCTACCACATCATCTAACAGGTACGCTACTTTTTTTTTTATAATCGACATCAGTTTAACATTTCCGTTTTCTGTTAATTCAATTCGAAAAAAGTAGTACTGGTAATTCAAGGATTATATTTTTGAAATCCACCAAGCCAATCAATTGTCCTTATTGTTGGTTCACATCGAAATAAATTAAGCGATTGAACTGGAAAGAGAGGATGATTAGAGTAATGGAAGAATTGATTATAAAAAAAAGGAACGGTTATCCGGAAAAACTGACTTTTGTAAATTAAGAAAGCTAGACATCCGAATCATTTACTCCGATAGGGAACGTTGTAATTTGAGCCATGTTTCAGGTCGTCAATTTAAGTCACTAATTTTTCATCGTGGCATAATATCACAAAATTCCTTTCATAATAATATAAAAGTAATGCAGTGACTCGAAAAATTACTAGCACCAAGGATCAAATGTTCAGCCACCTTTCTGTGGCTGTCGAATAAACCATGCAGTGCAGCAAAAGGAACACATTTCAACTGATCGTTATATCGAACTTATGCCTAGATTCACTTCCAAAGATACCACAGCCGTGCCAAATGTCCAATTAATTTTTCCGTGTAGGAATTAAAGTTAACCATGTGAATAACAAGAAAAGTTGCTTTTTTAAAATGAATGTTTCGATCACCTATTGCTTGAACTATGCTTCCTACTTCATAACATATTAAGAACATCTCTCCAAACACACAATCGAATGCGTCTTTTTAAAGTGAGTATTTCATGATTCTTTTTCATCAGGATAAGCAATTTAAACGAATAAACCATTAATGTGTGATTTTGATAAATACTGCTTGATGAACTTGAGCTGTTCAGTGTTATGTTTTAGAAAAATAATCATTTAAGGATTTCTTTTATCTGTATCAACAAATATAGCATTTATGAATGAAAAATGCAGGTCTCATAAACAAAAACGGTAGGAGATCTGTATAAACGCTTAAAAAACGTAAACCACTATACACAAATATACATATATAAGAAGTGGTAAGGATGAAACAACAATTTGCATACATTCCTGCATAATATTGCTTTTCATTGATCATCGGCTTTCCTAAGTAGTAGTTCTTTTACTATGTATATAAACGGTTTTTCTCATAAAAAGGTTTACTTATTGCTAGAAGGCAAACTCTGATCGGATTTGATTATAAAAAAAAACATTCGCTTAACGGATTTTTACACATTTGCATTTGATTTAGCCGTTTTGACTGCTTCTGCTATTAACTTAGTTGTTTCATTTCAAGTCAATTACTTAACACGATGCTTTAATTACTAAAGTAACAAAATTACAATTCTTTATTAAAATCGAACCGAAGGGATAGAAATCTATTGATGAAAATTAGTGATTATTTCAAAATTCCTTTTCATCAGGAAAAAAAAATCATCACTGAATTTGACATGCCGAATAATTAAGAGTGAAATGGATCAGGAACGTAAAATGTATTAACAGCAAAAACGATGCTCCTATTCCAAGAGAACTATTAGAAAATTTGATAAGATATGCTTTTGTAACTCATAAGAATTGAGAGAAAAATTTCCTAGTTGGCAATAAAAATAACCACATTATACCACATTATACATATAGTTTAATAAGTTCATCACCAACAGCCGCAGGTGTCAAAATACCAAGATTGGTGAAAAGCAAATTTATATATTGTGGTGGAGTATAGTCGACAAGTGGATGCTCACTTGAAAAATCACCGTCAAACTTATGTTTTGTCAAAGTTGAAGCCGCATACTGAAGATTACATTAACACTTAATTCAAACTTTAAACGAATGGTGAAGATTTGTACCATTTTTCGTCGGAATAGATAATCCGAAAAAATCAAAAAAATCTAAACAAATATTTGATAACTTATAGCCTTCCTTCACAAGAAAAAACACAATCAATGAAAAAAATTAACAATAAAATTTCTCTAGAACGACTAGGGAAATGATTAACAAAAAAGAAAAATAAGTCAAACCTTGAATTCAATAGGTATATCATTCTGATTTAAAGGATATTCCTTCACAAATTTGATACTTTCCGCCATAACAAAAAATGGTTTATGCATTGCTTTCGCGCATACTGCCAACGGATGTGTACCAATTTTGTTTATGATACCACCAGTTTCCATAACACCTTCTGCACCAACCATTACCAAATCAATTGTTTCCATTATATATCTACAACATTCTACTGGAATAAAGAACCATTAACTTTTAGAAAATATAGTATTCTAAGATTTGTTAATGAACTACACTCAATTTTCCTACCCAGCGTAAGGAGTTTCTGTAGGGCCAAGAAAATAAATCATGATAGTTTTAATTAGAATAAAGAATAGTAAGTACTATGATCTCAAATACTGCATATCAAATTATCAGTCTCAGCATTCCTGATCTTTATTTTCAGTTATAAGAGACAATATTTTGATAGTTACACCGCTACGTTTATATTTATTAACAAAAGAATAACGCAAATTACATCCAAAAGAAACGAATATCCAACTATTTAAATGTCATGAATTAAAGTATACCCAACTCCGGCGTCCAATATTAATGTGCAGTGAATTCCAGCATCTTTTAATGCTTTAATCATAACATTACCTGAAGATCACCTGTTAGTTCGACAGAAGTTTATATCACACAATTTGTAATGATTAAAGAGCAAGCTAACGCAATGTCCATCAAACATGAATAAAAATAAACTACAAACTCTGGAAGAATTGCTAGAAAAAAAAAAAAAAAAAAACAAAACTACCTGATTTATCTGGGCAAGATTCTGTAACGAAAACATGTGCATTAACGCCATTTCTCCTAGCATGTAACAACACTTCCAATACAACCTTACTGTATGAATGGGTAAGTATGCGCTAAAAATTTAAGATTTTCAATATTGAGCAGTAGTAATTTTAATAACTTGTAGAATTTTAAAGTTTTCCTCCTCCTTCATTAGATTTAGTTTAGTCATAAAAATAGTAGAGTTTTAAACTTTTCGTCATTTTAAACCCGACCAAAGACAGAACAAAAGATTTCGACGAGATGGTACTAATAGTTACCAATCCGAAAACATATTTAAAGTAAATGGAAGATAAAGAATAAATTATTTGATAAGAAAGTTACCATACTGTTTCGAATAAAAGGCACTGCAAAACAAGCTATCAGCGTTTTGCTCAGTTCAACTCGCTCAATAAAAATATTTCCGCGCTCCTTGTATTTACGCATTAAAATACTAAATTCCTGTGCATTCTCTTCAGGTGTAGCAAGTGATATAAACCTATAACTACTGGTGCTAATTTAATAAGAAGAAATGCATTTCATATCTGATTTAATCTACTTGTAAACTTTCTGAAAGCATTTTTTTCATTCTGCATCGCACACAGCATATTATGTCCATCCTATCCCCACTGTTAATCACATTAAAGAAAAGCTTCAAGAAAAACATTTTATAAGGCTGATTACGATTACCATTTGTTAAACCAAACCTTAAAAATAATTCGCTAGCACTTCGAATAGATGGTATACTATGGTCAGTTGTTGACATAGCAACCACTGCATTCCTCAATTCATCTGTCAGTTCATTTACCGTTTTTGCTAAAATTTAAAGCATATTTTTGTCTCTTCTCGAAGGAATAAAGCAAATCCATGAATAAGAGAAAGCAAATTAAAACAAAATGACTGAAAAAAAAAGAAACCTTTAGAAATCTCAATGCATCGCATTAACGTTTCAATAGCTGCTTGACCTGTCGATTTTAAGTTTTCATTGCCATTTAATAACTGTTGAAAGTGCTTGGCGATATCCAGTTCCATTATTTTTAACCTGTAAAGCTGTAGAAAGCTTTGCTAAAAAAATATTGGATGAATACCATAGAGATATAGCATCTAATCTATATATGAAAGTAAGGGAAACGTCATAACCCGTAATTGCCCCAGAAGTTTCTTACACACTAAAGAAGTAATAATACTTACTAATTTTCATCCAGCAATACAAACGGGCAATTCACCATCCATCAATTACCGTACGGCCATTCAACATTTTAGATACATTAAGCTACTAAAGTTGAATGTAGTTCTAGAATGATGGCTTGTTCTGTGGGTGTGGCTAGCTTTCCGCGTGAATTGCTTAACACGTTCTGTGAGGGATACGTGGGGACGTGAGGAGACGTCCTGCCCGTTTCGTCTGACGTGTACATATACAGATGTATCACGTGACACCATCTGCAAATCATGTCTATATCATTCATAGGTCACGTATTGAAGACATCTTGCATTGCAATGAAACGAGGGCATATTTGAAGTGAACCGTAATTAGATTTAAATTGACTTGGGATAGCACTTCAGAATTCAAAACTTTAAATGAAATTGGAAATTAAGTAAAATTATGAATAATGAAAATTGCGAGATATGCTAGTGATTTCTCATGAAAGGCGTATAAATGAGAAATGAGGAAGGAATGTGCTATTAGTTCATTCCATGTCTTTATCTCTTTTATTCGATTTAGTTAGTTGCTCTATATTGGTATGCAGAGATAAAATATTATTAGAAGATAATAGTGGTAAAAACATCATTAGAAGATGACAATGTCAAAATTGCTCTTTCTCAACTTTTGGCTAGTTGTTTTCAAATTAATGTTAAGGATAATGTTATAAATTCGTGAAATGACTGTTATGCTACCTTTTTTTGATTCAGGTTGCTTGATTTTAGTTGCCTTATCTCTGAAAGGTCATAATGTCAATGGATTATTTGAGATTGGATATGCTTGCTTTAAAAAACTGATTGTAGGAACTTGTTTTTCATTTTGATTCCAACCATTTACATTCGGAAATTTATTTGCGAGCATTTGCAAGAATGGTAGATGTTAAGGGGAGCATCGGATTGCCGATAGCAGAAGAGCGTATACGGGATGCAGTTGCAAGACAAATACAACAGTTTGGTGCGTTACATTTTTTTCATATAATTTCGAATTTTTTAAGTTCAAAAAGACCGCTTGAAATTTAAAGTGGAATAATTTCTGTCTTCTTTTTAAACGTAGTAGATTTTTAACTTAAGAAAGGTTGTTTGGATTTTTCAGGGATGGATAAACTGACAAGTCGAATAATTCGAGAAAAACTGAAGGAAACATTCGATGTGGACTTTACAGACCATAAAGCTGCAATCGATAAAATCACAATGGATGTATGGTTTTGCGCTATTATTACAGTGAAGTTATATCACTAAGATATCTGGAAATTCTCTCTTCTCAGTTTACAGTAACTTTTTGTCTCATTGAGAATTATTAAAGATAATTGAAAGAAATAGTGCCGAGAAACAGAAGGCAGAAACAAATAACAAATCGGATTCAGAATCAGATGATGCAGTTGTTTTTACAGACCGCGCACCAAGAAAGAAAGTTAAGGTCTGTATATTTGTTTTCATCCTGTAATTCTTTTTTTTTTTTTTCTGGACTGCTTCTGAATGAAAGCTTTGCATCTTATAACTACGTTCAGATGGTTAAAAATTTTTGTGAGCTTTTATCAAGATTTCCATAATGAAGATCTATCAGTATATTGACCGAACCTTGGATTTATTCAACTGAAGATTTTAGGAAACGAGGAAGCGGAAGTCTTCAGATTCAGAAGCAGAATTACTGGAAGTTGGTCAAAAGAGGCGAAGAGCAGCGGTAACAAGACAAACTACTAAGAAAAGGAACAAAGGAAATATTGAAGGTGGATCAAAGCCTCGCAAAAAGAAGGTCTAAAGTTTACTATTTATAAATGAAAAATGATTTGTGGAATGTATTGAGGGATCTCCTTCATATTTTTATTATATTTTTATGAAAATCACAATGATTTAAAGTGTACTAAGAGATGTTTTTATGCAATAAAGCAGTATTTTAGGCTAGGACCAAATTGAGTGCAGTGTTTTAATTGCTTGGTAAAGTTTGTTAATATCTTCCCAGTAAACGGTATATGTCTCTTTCTGACATATATTTAATTAATATAAAGTAATACGTAAAAAACAAAAACGTCGAAAATGAGTTAATCGTTTATTCTTTCTGTTTCAACACAAAATGTATATTAGTGACTGAACCTTTACACTGAGTGATTAAACATTTTGCGATGAGGTGATTAAAGCGGAGTTGTATAGCTAACGATTTTCATTTTTATTTCTATTTTATATATAAGTTGCAAATTTTCTTTTTTTCATATTTTTGCATTTTTTTTTCCTTCATGAAAATTTTTATATGTTTCACATTTTTTATGACGTTGATATTCTTTTTTGAGTCTCATACTATTGTTATTCTTAGGGTCCATATAATGTTTATTGCGCATTGACAGAGGATCTTGCTGCAGTATGTGGTAAGCGATACATGCGACGCTGTGATGTGATTAAAGCAATGTGGGCATATTTTCGGAGCAATAATTTACTTGATCCAAAAGTATGTTGCCCTCATTTAAGCAGTTACAAAAGTTCCGACTTCATGCGACCGACGCTGAAGTTTCTTCTTTTCCTTTTTGAATCGTAAATCGGAAATGGGTAATCGTTTATTCTTTCCGTTTTAATATAAAAAATGTTATATTAGTTTTTCAGGATAAACGTTATGTGTTGCCCGATGAACCTCTTATGAAGATTTTCAAGAAACGTTTTCTTGCTTTCGGCTTAATGAAGGATCTCGCTGCTCATATTATCGAGCCAAAGTTTTTGGATGAGGAAGAACGGGCTGCTTTGGAAAAATTTGAAGCGGAAGAAGAAGCACGATTGGAAGCTGAGAGTAGTAATAATAATGGTAATGGTGATGATGGAAATATAAAGCAGGATGATGATAGTACGAAGAAGAAGGATATCGTTGGAGTAAATAATGATGAAGATGACGAGAATGATGATGATGGTGAAAATGAAAGCAGTTGAAATTCTCGCATCTTTAAAAATTTTCCTTTGCAAAGATAGCTAAATATGATGATCTAGTTTTCGGAGAGATTTACTTGCTTGTTTTTCCTATCTAGAAATTTCGGTAAGTTCAGGTCATATTCGAAACTTTAATTACTTTTACTTTTAGGTCATTTTTTATCAAATATCAGGAAGTCGCTTTAGGCGCTTTTATGATTAATATATGCCTCACTCTCTCTTTATATTTTCTCATTAACTTAATCGTGGTTGTCTTTTGTGAGTCTTTATTTTCATTTTATATTTCATCTTATATTCTTTTGCACCTTGCAGAAGTTTGTGAATTGCTAATGAGCGAGAACCTATGTTATTATGCAGACCCTTTTAGATGAGCGACTACTTTTTTTTTCAGTTTCAGTTCAGCCCAATTCTTGTCTTTATTCCGCTTCCGCTGCTACGGTTACCTCGTTTTGGAGCATAACTGCTCACTATTTTTGTTGATTTAATCAGTCGTTGAGCTGAATAGATAAATGCGTTTAAAATAATCAAGTACAGATTTTTAAAAAGGTGTTCTTTGTTGGTGAGAAATTATGGTATTTTTTAGATGCACGGCACTTTGTTTTACTTGTTGTCTAAGAATTCATATCGTCTTTAAAATATTTTAAAAAGGAAAAAAAACCAAACATCGATTGTCCATTTTTAAATATTGAATTGTAAAAAGAAAATCTTATTGTAAGAATGCTTATGCTTCTGTTTTCTTCATACATCCTTGTTTTGTTTTGGTTTAATTATTATATTGATTTCATCATTTAGCGAAATACAAATAATAATTAAGCTTTAATGCAATGACAGTTTAATGTATATTAACGGCCCACTGGCTTGTAACTTACAAATGAGCGATGCGTAACATCATCGTCATTAGTAGTATGAGAATTGAGTAATCTATGATCATGAATGTGGTTACATCTTCTACACTTGGTAAATATAGTCTCATACATTTTGTTTGGACAGTATGAGGTGAGTGAATTTGAAATAGCATTTTTAATTAATGCATATTGTTGACTTTAATAATTATTTGGTTATAGCTGATTATCCAACTGCTCAAATTTCTGGTATGTTCACACATGTAGGTACAAGGAAATTTGTGTGATCTTAGGATTTCAATTTGATAAAATCTAGGATATTCGTGAAGGATTAGTAATAAATTCGTGAGGTGTCTAGGGCTCATTCCCTCCTGAAAGTCATAAAATTCGATCATCCTTTTAATTTTTTTTTTTTCCTGATCAATTTGAAATTGAAATTTTGAAATATTTTGCAGCTTTCATAATTCTCAGGAAAATTATTGGCTTGGTTCAAAATTTGAATCTCGAATAAATGAGAAAAAACGGGATAATTCATTACGATCAATAAAATATCAATCCGGTGATGTATGAAGTTTGCAGGAAGATTCCACATTTTCTCCATTTCACAATTTGAACTCATTACCATTTTTTTACAGTGGTAGTAGTATTTTTCATCTTTATTATTCTGAAACTAGTTGAAATTTTTTTTTTTTTTTAGAACTTTGTCATTTAGCTTATTACTGGTAAAAAAATTTGATCATTTCAATACGACAGTAATTTTGATTCTGATCATTTTCTTAAAGTAAAATGATATCGAAATATTCTGCAGTTTTCATAATTTTCAGAAAATTTGTTTAGCAAAAATGTTGAATGCAATGGTTAATTTACTTAATTATTGTTTGCTTTTTGAGCAAAACTTTAAAAGTTTACGCTTGCCTGAACGATCGTGATGAATTTCCGAATATATTGATAAAGCCACTTATTAATGAATGATTTGCTAGAAGATTTGGATACGTTTCGATTTTTTAACATTTTTTTTTTCTTTTTTTTTTTTTTTTTTGCATGATCTGTTATTAAAGGGATGGAAAAAAGAATTTGTAAAAGAGGTATGTCATTTCAAATAATAGTATCACATCAAATCACTCACTCTTACAATTTTTCAGGTAAAACAAAAAAACAACGTAATCATTTGGAATTTCTATGTATATCCAAGCTTTTCCACAAACTATTCATTAACAGATGGCTTTACCATAGAAGTCACTTCTTTTTATTCTCAATCCAGTAAACCTTCATGGGACTGTTATGACAGATAACTTTGTTAAAATGATTTGTATGATTTTATTTATTTTTTCTTAATTTAATAAATAGAAACTGCATCTGTTTGGTTGGTATACTTAGAAATACACAAAAATCTCAGGATAATCTAGAAAGAGCAAGAGCGAGGGAAGGAGAAAAAGAGAATAACGAGATCATTTTAAATTTGAAATGCTAAAAAAGCATTACTGCAACTTTTTTGCGCTATTTCTTTCAGTGAAAGAATTCCTTTCTATTTTCTAATTCAACACTAAAAAACTTGAATGTTTTGAATTCAATTTCCAAAATTTTAAGTTATTGGATTGCATTATTTAAAATTATTTCATTCCTAACTGAAAAAAAAAAAAACTCTCTAAAATCAATTTAGTGATTATATGTGTGTTCCTTTACTATTTATTTCGTTTTTTAGCGCAGAAATACTACCAACGAACAAACAAACAAACAATTTCTCTATAATAATAATTTAGCAATGATCCAAATTAAACTTTTTAAAGAAAAAAAAAAGTAAGACGGCACCGGAGTGAAGCGATCTATTATCATATAGTACTATCATTTGCACTCAAAATTAATGAATACATCAGAACAATATAAATTTAAATTTTAGATTTCATAAAACAAATGAAAAAGAAGAGCATGGTAAAAAATCATAATGGGATACCGGGACGACATAGATCCCCTGAGAAAAGAGAATTATCAATTGTGTACCACAACACAAATACTTATAATTTGTAAGCAATTTATTATTTCAATATCTTTCTTTCCTTTTCAGTTCAGAATAATCATCTCACATCAACAAAAAAAAGTGAATACTTTTGTTTTGAATTTTGAAAGAATCGATTCTTTTTTCTATTCTCCTTTTTTTTTTTTTTTTTTTTTTTTTTTTTTTTAAAGAGAGAGAGGAAATCGGATAGATCGGAAGATTGATTTATTACTGTATAAATGATAAGTTGAAAAGGATGAATGGTGGAATATTTGTGTTATGATATGCTAATTGAGCATAAAACTCGCTATTACATACAATGAGATGATTTCAAAGGAGCAGGAAGTAAATGAGGATGTTAAAAAAGAAATTTGACAAAAAAAAAAAAAAAAAAATTTCTTATGAAATGAAAGGAAGATAAAGGATGAAACCGTAATCTTAGTTACTGCTACAACAATGTATCAGTATCTTCAGGTGATAGTTCAGACCTGGTTGGTGTTGATTGACCCGATGGAGCAGAGACCAATGAGAGATGACCCGAACGACGAGGTTGAAGTGAGCGTGAAGTGGTTGATAGCAGTATTGGAGGTGTAGTACTAGTACCAATTAATGGACTATTAACATCATCTATTCCACTATAACTGGTTGGCATTCTCAATGGTATCAATTCTTCATTTCTATTTCCCAACTGCAAATTATGCAAATTAATAAAAAAAAAGTAAATGGTTAAACGTTAAAGATTAATGTCTAAATAATATCAGAATTCTTCTTATGAAATATTTCCAATAAAAACTGCAATGAAGACTATTGTATATTAATTACATTAATTTGAAAGAAACTTCAAATTTTTGAAAAATATTTGCTGTTTAAATCTATTAACTAAATTGCAATGAAGAATTAAAAGAATCAATTTACGTCTATGCATTTGATATTTCAGCATATTAGGAAATTCCGGTAGCAATTTTTTTGACAGGTCTAGGATCATAGTATTAGATTAGAAAAGTTATGTATTTAGATACCCTAACTGGATGAATTCCTGAGGCACTACGAGATGAGTAAATCGTTCGAACAGAGGTACCCTTTGATGAACGACCGGAAGATGAATTAATTAATGCATTTTCCGGAATTAAAACCCTCAAAATTTGTTCAAGGCTGCTGTTGATTTTATTTTCCATTTTCTCCAGATGGCTGCAAAAATTAAAATAATTATTGGACTGGAAAAATTTTAATTTGAAATTAAATTTAACTAAGTCTTTAAAGTAAAAAAGTGAAAAATTCAAAGCAATAAATAAATTAAAGAACAATGACATCCACACCTTTCAATATCACTAAGTCTCCTTTCCAACATCTGATAACGAATATCATCGTCCTCGGAACGATTACTCACTGAAAATTAGAAGTTCCCTGATAAATTAGAAATGAATAAAGAGAAATTTCAGGAAATTTTTTGAGAACGTTATTTCTGATAACTAATTTTCTAAAATGTTAGAACGCTTTATCAAAAGTTTTTTTGTCATGTAAGTTTAGCAATAAATCGCGGAATTCGAACAAATATAATAGATGGGTATTGAAGGTTAGAAATAGTAATCACTCATCAAAAAAAGTAACAAAAGAGATAAAAGAAGTGAAATCTATCAAATCTCGATAAATGAATAAATGAGAAAATCTCTGAATATGGAAGAAATATAGCCTTTATGGGTGAGTATAGAATGTCATTGATAGAATTGATTTGTCAATGTATGATAAATTAAACGGATTGATAAATTTTTGTAAGTTTATCGAAGGTAGAGAAGAACTTAAAATTTAATACAAAAATACTCATTTTATTTTATGCATTTTTTAAATGTAAGGAAGATTGCAAGAAAATTCTGCGACACTTCTCCTTTTGCAGTTCTTCTGACAATTTAAGCTAATTAACAAGAAATTAGAAGAAAAAACACTGATTGCCTAACACAGGATTGTTGACAATTTTGTGATAAGCTTTCTTATCTTTCTTTGTCAGTGAAGTCCTTTCGACACGTCGACGATATGATTGCAGCGCTTACTGTCAACAAACTAAGTATATATCCATTACAGACAGCAATTTATTCATGAATTACTGGGACTGTTCAGTCATTTTATGAATATCTGACATAGTGACGTGATCGTACGTCAAATGCACTCCTATTTCAATCTTCAAATAATTGACTGAACTATTGATGGTTTAAAGATATTTAATAAAACAATAAGAGAGATATTTATAGACATCTGCACTAGTTATTAAGATGCTAGCAACAACCACTTGTCAATTTTTCATAATTTAATTAAACAAATAAGTTATCTAAGCAATACTAATTGGTTTATTAAATCACTAATATTTGAAATATGAAATGTTTCAAATTAGTATAACTATTAGATTTTCTTTATAGAATAAGCCTAATACTAACTTGTTCGCTCGGTTCGGGTCACAAAATCATCCCTCTTTTCTAACGAACCTAAAAATATTTCAATTCCATTCTAATTAAATGGGCATACTTTTTTGAATCGTGAATTTTTAAAACTTTTTGTTAAACTTTTTAAAATAATAAATAATTCACTGTGAAAAACTTCGTTCCAGAAACAAAGAAATGTTGTGCGTTTTTTTTTTTTTTTTTTTTTCAAACAAATTTCATAAATTCCTTTTGTTTTTGATTATGTATTCTGTTTTCCTATTATTTCATTCTTGTCCTCAATTTTTTTTTATCCCTTAAGAATTTTCCTCTTTCCTTTCATTTCGAATCAATGCTTAGCAAATTAATCACAGCTAACTAATAGGAATTTAGAGATAAATAAATGAAATTTATCAAAATAAAAGGATTTAAACATAAGTTGCACAAGTTTCTCAATATTTTGTAACCTTCTCGTTGGATTGAAGATATTTTGTCTTTGTCCAACGATGATGACATTCGTAAAAGTTTATGTCTGTCAAGTCGTTTCCTCATTGACTGAGCTTCCTAAATCAGTTAAATGTCATAATTTCAGGAAGAAAGGAAAGAATATGAAGAAAAAAAAAAGGAACTTAAATAAATGCTAATTTAAGAAAGATATTTTTTCATAAAGTCATAAAAAAAAAATATTTGAAAATACTATTACTACCCCCACTTTTTTGCTACTTTATAAATAATTTAAAATATAATAAAAAGGCAAAAGAAAGAAACTAACGTCTCTTAGATTATATGTAATAGTTAAATTGCGACAAAAATTTTCAGCAAATTCAGGATAAATGTCAAGCACATCAAGCAAGTCATCCCGTAATATCCTGTGCAAATCACAATAAGTTAAGGCCCGAACATTGCATGATGATTTGCCGACATCTTCGTGTAGCAACGGATTTTCCCCAAAGATATCATCTTTTCCTAAAATTTGACACTTAAAAAAGAAGTTAAATCATTTTAAATATTTGCTAAAAACATTTGAACAAGAAATTACATATATTAATTATGCTATCTAATTATTAAAAAAAAAAATGCTAAAAACTAACATACCGAGAATACCTACAACCATATCATCTTTGAGAATTTCCACGGAACCTCTGGCAATAAAATTTAATCCAGTGAGAACATCACCTCGATGCACCAGGGTGTCACCTGGTGGAGCATGTGTTGTTCGAAACCTGTAATTTGTTTCGTTTTGTTATGTGTAGAAATGCACAGAGAAGATATTATTTTAATAATTTAGTTATATCAAAATATAGTAATATAATAATATAATCAATTCAGCTATACTTGATGAATAATCATTGTAAATTAATTTGTTCTATTCATATTTCAAATTTTAATTTTGAAAAATTACAAACTATGTCACAGAACTGATCAATGAATCAATGAAATATAAGGCGCAAAATAACCTCATGCTTAAGGCTCGCAGACAGCCAGGTGAACATCCAGCAAATGCTGGACAATTGTTGAGCAAATTTCGATTCAAATGCAAACATATATCTGCTTGAAGGCAATCTGGGAAACCTTTCAATACCTGCCAATAATTTCAGAATTATTATCAGAATTAGAAAATAAAAAAAAAAAAATGAAAAAAATCAAACTTTACTGATAAAAAGCATAGAATTATTATGAATGATGTAATACTGATATGACAATATCAACAATTTCTGAAATTAAATAATAGATTTTTTTTTTTTAAAAAAAGAGAAAGGTACACTTACGGTATTCATGTCGATACCATTGGTGTAAGACCAGGCATGTTGAAAATATTCCTCCAACCTTTGTCGTAGAGGATTTGGAATTTGATGAAAACGGATGAATTCCCGTAACCTAGACATTTCCGTATGATACCTTGCTGTACCACTATATAGGCGTTGTATTATTGCTGATACATTGCCGAATACAGATGCATACATTAATGCTAAAATTTCAAAAATCAAATCCTTAAATGAAAAAAAAAAAAAAAATAATCAAATTTAAATTCAAAAATTTCATATACTTACTATTGCGTTGCTTTTAATACTTCAGAATTTTAATTCAAATAAGTCAGATAAAAAAAAAAAAAAAAAAAGAGAGAAAAAAAAGGAAAAAAGAAAGAACTAACATCCTAAAATCATCATAATAATAGTAAAAATTTTTTCAGAATCAGTAGTAGCAGAAACATTGCCGAAACCAATTGAGGTGATTGTTGAGAGTGTAAAATAAAGTGACGTAACGTAACGTGATTTTAATGACGGTCCACCAGTTGGCACACTTCCGTTCGTTGATAAGTATGGTTCATTTAAATGACGTGCTGTAATTAAAACGTTGAAATGTTAAATTAATCATTCATTTAAATAAAATGGAATAACTACTTTTATTCACAGTAATTCTGCACACTATGTTAAAAATAAATAATTTAAAATTGAACATAGTGATATTTCAGTCCATCTAACTATTCTATTTCAAACTCTATCTAATATGAAAAGAATGCTGAAGTAAGAAAAAAAAAAAAACTCTTTTTTTTTCTCTCTCTCTCTCTCTCTTTCCTAAAATTTCATCTAAAAATAAACAGTTAACAAATCAAATATACTTCATTTGTATTATGATAATAAAATTTATAAGAATTAATAATTTTAACAGAAATTCATCTAATAAAGATTTTTCGGCTTATGCCAATACAATTATTTGACTTTGTTTCCTTTTTTTCAATAAAATATACCAAGCTGATGTAACCATGTGAACTCTTTATGAGGCAATTCAGCACTTCCAATTGCATACCAAATACAGCCAAGCCAATGGGCAATTAATGCAAATGTGGCCATAAGTAGTAATAAGACAGCAGCACCATATTCGGAATAACGATCCAGTTTCCTGGCTACCCGTACTAATCTTAGCAGACGAGCGGTTTTCAGTAATCCAATTAAAGTGGTAGTCTAAAATTTAAAAAAAAAAAAAATGTAAAAATTTTAATAAAAAATTTTCACTTCACTCCTTTTTTTTGTTGTTTGTAAATAAACTTCAAAATATTTTCAGTGCTTGAATTTTTGTTAAAAATTTCAAAATTGTTCAGGAAAAGAAATTTTTTTTTTTTGTTTTATTTTTCAATTACAAAAAAAAAAAGCACTATGTCAATATTTTGCAGTTAATTTTAAATTTAAATTTTTACTCGAATTTCAATTTTTTTTTTTTATTCTTTTGCCACAATTTATATTGAATAAAAATTTGAAACCGAGTAAAAATTTAGCACAAGAAACAAAAAATGGTTAGGAGTAGCAATTTTGTGAAATTAGCACACAGATCAAAAAATAAATAAAATCTTAATTATTATGCTTTCATTCTTTGAGTTAAAATTAATGACTTAAAAATACTGCAAAAGTCTCTGTGAATTTTTAAATTATTAAAAAACTTTTGTGAATCTGAAATATTTCAAGTTAAACTTTGAGCAAAAAAAAAAAAGCAAATTAACATCAATGATAATTTCTCGGAATTTGATAAATGCATAAGTTCCCTGTATAATTGCTAACTGATAAATTTCAAATTTTGTAAAATTTTGTTTTACTGAAGCATTTCGGCTTGAATTCAATGTAAAGTTTTTAAATTGAATTCATGTCAAGGATAACTATTTAGATATTACATCTTCTCATACCAAAATATGTAAATTTTGATGTAAATTTTGTTTGATAACCTATACGAGACACATTTGTCTAAATAGTAGTTTCAAGAAAAAAAAAAAATTAATTAAGCTAAGTAAATTAATCGATCAATCTATTATACATTTCATTAACTATCTTGGTAATCGTTTAAAATTGTAAGGATTCTTTTCTTTTCAAACTTATTTATTTGTTGTAGCAATTCTCTTTGACAATGTAATTATTTGCTTTATCATTTAGAAATTCAAAAAGGACACAGACGCCAATGAATCAAAAATACAAGAGCTTTTTGAGCATTTCATATGAATGAATATAATTAAAAATTAATTTTTGATAAATTTTAAATCACAAAAAATTTTGTTACACAATAAGGGACAAAAAAGTTTCTAATTATTTAATCGAGATATTATTAACCATTGATGTAATATCTTTCCTCTTTTTTTTGCATAAAATAACTTAATTAAAAGTATCAAGAGAAGTAGATTCAAAATAAAATTAATATAAAGCGACTTTTTTTTTTATCTTTCTAAAATAGTAATTTCTCTTCTAATTATTTAAACTTATTGTTACTTTATTGGAATTTAACTCAAATTATGCGTCGTTAAATGGTTAGTCAAATGTAATTGTTATTTACATTGCTGATGAATTTTTAAACAAAAAAGTTTTTTTTCGGAGTTATTATTATCAGCATTAATGAAGGAATGAGAATTAAAAATTTATTTCAAATCTAACTTTTTCCGTCCATTCAATAGTTAGAGATTAGATTGAACTATCATTAAAGCAGCAAGCGATTAGTTTTAGTTATTATCTGATAATATTTGTTAGAATTTAAAATGCTTTGTACCTTATAATTCATCCATCTACGATACTCACAATTTCATCAAAGTCTTAACTATTTCTTTGAAATGGTCACCAGGGCAAAGAGATCAGTAAGAAGGACTGTAATGCAAATTTTATTATTTGTTTCTTTTTTTTTTTTTCCGCTTGTCATGATTTAAAATTAGTTACTTTTTTTATTGGGAATATTTTTTGAAACAAATTTTTTTTTTCTTTTATAAAAAAGGAAATTAAAATTTATCAGAAAAAAAACAAAAAATGAAAATATTTTTTGGGTATGAAATGATATTAATTTGTATTAAGTGGAAGGTAAAGGAAGTTTTTTTTTCTATTGTTTCATGAAAAACATGTTAATGGCACATTGCTTCATATTTCTAAAATGAATAAATTAAAAACAAAAAAAGGGATAAAGTAAAAAAAAAAAAAAAAAAACTTATCGTGCAGGCATTTGCACCTTTCATATCATGCAAATTATAAGCAGAAAGACAAAAAAAAAAGAAAAAAAAAGAAAAAAAAACGAGCCAAGAATGAATAATTGCTTGCAATTTACCTCGTCCTTGTTGAGCCCACCGATCTTAAAAAAAAAAGAAAAACTTTCATTTTTCTTTTCAAATTTAATATATAATCAAAAAGTTTTTTATCGCATTGTTATCTTTCCTTAATATGTCATCATGCAAGTATCAATAATGTTCTAGTAAAAAAATTGATTGTATTAAGTATTGAAGTGACCTTTTTAAAGAATGATTATATATATATATATATACGGTGAAGAAAGTAAAATTCATTTAAATTGTCGCAAAAATGTAATACTCCTAATTTTAATGATATTAATCTTTATTAAATTTCAGTTAATCTAATTAGCATAATTAATTAACCATTTTTTAGGATAATTCTAAAATCTACCTACTGTGTCATTCACAAAGGCTAAGATGTATTAAACATTATCAGATCTTAGTTTTGCTTATTTTTCTTAATTATTTTGTAATTTAATTTTAATTACTTAATCTAATTATTTCGCACAATGCTCTATCTCTTACCAAATCTAGTGAGCAATATTAAACTGGTAATTCAAAACTTTATTAATTAGATATTATTAATTAGATGCAATATTAATTAGATGATCTAGATTATTTATTAATTAGATGATCTAGAACAATATTTTTTTTTTCTACATTATCAAAGAGAATGAATAGTTAATTCGCTCTAAGATTCATTTTCAAATGAAAAAATAATTAGCTAAAAAAGATGGTCAGAAATTTGTTGAACTAAATTATCAATACAAAATAAATTTTCAAAATTTCCATCTTATCTTAGCAATATGAATTACTCCATCAAGGATGATTGTTCGACAGTTTAGATATTTGATAAGCAAAAGTCAGATAGTCATTGCATTTTTATGATTATCACTAAAATAACAATTCTAATTTAAATAATAATAATAATAATTCTAATTTAAAAGAAGGAAAAATGTTTGTAATATAACTTTTCATAAAATGAAGTCTTCTCATATTATCTCTTTTGCTTTTTTAATTAACGTAAGATTTGGGCAAGAAAAACAAATGGTATACTAAGAATTTCTTATGTTCATAAGAAGGTTAGTAGTTTCATTAAATTTTTAATGAATGACTCAAATTCATTCTGAAAATAAAATAAGAGTATTTATCAAATGATAATAATATTTTTTTTTTTTTTTTCATTTTCATTAACCTAAGTTAATGCTAATTTGGTGCTATCATATTCTAAGTAATTCTGGAAGTAAATGTAAGAAAAGTATAAAAAGATATGATAAAATGTAACCTCGTCACTGTTTGTATTTACAAGAAGAAGGTCGAAGGGCACAGCAGCAATCATATCTATTATAAACCACCCTTTAAAATAATGTATTGCTATCTTTCCAGGATGTGATACAACCTAAAAAGTAAATAAAATTTTTTGAATGAAAAAGTTAAACTTAACTTATTAATGATATTTTATTCATTACGTAAATTTCAAATTATTAAATGAATTTTGGCATGAAATAATTCAAAAAATCCATCAATCGAAATAAAATGAAAATTTTAAAATTTAACATGACAGCAACGAACTTCATCATTTTCATTGACATAAGTTGTTCTGAAATTAATAATAATATCGACAATAAACATAATATCCACAATTAGATCAATAATTTCCAATGGTTCCGAAAAACGAGCTTTACGAGAGCTATCCTGTAATTTAAATTTTATTTCATATCAGAGAGAAATTTAAATGATCAAAGTAATTTCTTATTATTCTTAAAATAAAATGTTTTCTCTTCCATAAAGATTTCCTCTATTCTTTCGTTGCAATTCTATATTTTTCAAATTGGATGTAAATTTTATTATCAATGATTGGAATTATTTTTTAAGATATTGATTTAAAAAAATAAAATTAACTGAAAGTTAAACGAGGAAGAAGTGATTTTATTCCAGGTGTAAATGGAACAATTTTTGAAAATGAAATTTAAATAATAAATTTACTTTATGCTTTAGGTAAAACTTTAATTAAATAGGAAATGCAAGGTATTATACAAAAGATAATACTTTATTAGGAAGTATGATAATAAAATTTTATCAGTGAATCTTCATCATTTACTTATTTATTTGAAATCAAAAACTGTTTCATTTAAAATGCACAGCAAAGATACCTCTCGTAGTAAAAAGGCTGCAACGTAAGGCGTAAAAATGGCAGTATAAATGACCAGAAGTAGGATAATCCAATCCCAAACGGCCTTAAATGGAGAATAGTGTACGATGGTACAGTGATGGATCCTGAAAATGAAACTAAATATTTGAGAAGTTTTTAATTAAAATATTCAGAATTTGAGCACAAAAAAGTATTGAATTTTAGGAATTTCATAGATAAATTAAGTAAAATGTATAGATTACAGTGTTTTTTTTTTTTTATTTAAAATTTATCCATAAAGTTTTGAAGTTTTTAATTTTGATATGATTCTTTTTTTTTTTTTTTTGCCCTTGATATGAGCAATTTTAAATTGATAATTTTTATTAAAATAAAACTATGTCCACCTAGTAGGTTGCAATTTATATTCCGGCAACACATCGGCTCCCAGTGATAGCACCTGAAATTTATTTCAATTCCGATTAATGATTAAGATTGATATGTACAACTAAAAAAGAAAAAACCAGTAGGTAGGCAAAAAAGAAAAAAAAGACTGAAGGATGCAAAACCAAAGACACAATGGTCAAAATGATTTCAATCGAAATGAATATTTATGAGGACAATGTTGAATGTGACAGAAATTAATTTTATCAAAATTCAACAATCCAATCTTCTTCTCTTTTTTCATTTGTTATGAAGTGAGCACATTTAAAATCTCGTAATTTTCTCATTATCGTATATCGGAATAACCGAATACTCGAATACTCGAATACTCGAACATTTTATTTCGTTTTCAAGAATAATTCTCATTATATAAGGGAGTACTACTTGATACAACATTTAAAAATGTGGGTAAGTAAATGTATTCAATGGAATAATAATTCCTGGGAAAAAATTCTAATTATCTTCTAATTAAACAGCAAAGGAAAAAAAAACACGTATTGAATATGAACCAACACTGCAAGATTAATTAATTAATTGATTAATTAATCTATCTATTCCTGCAGTGTTGGATAACTTACCTTGATAACATTGCCGGGTAAGGTCATTGCAATACATCTAAAGAGAAGAAATCCAGGAGAATTATCTTATTGAATGAAGTTAATCTCTAATAAATTATCAAATGGTACGATAGTATAATTATGATTTTAAAAGTATTTAACGATAAGATAAATTATAAATTAATTGTAAAAAAAAAAAAAAACAAATTTTAAAACTTAATGAAATATATATATCAAAAAAAAATGTTTTTTCTTGCCATTATTTTACTTTAACAAATAATTTTTGAAATTAATGACCAAGTGAGAATTTAATAAATACTTGAAATTTTTTATTTCATACCAATTTATCATATTGATCTAATGCAGGAATTTAATTAGAATTGCTTGTATGAATTTCAAAGTGAAATAAAATCCAATATTAAATGATTCTGTGCAAAAAAAAAAAAAAAAAAAGAAGAAAAATCACCTCGAGAATTCGGTAGCAACATTTGGCATAACTTTTTTCATCAGACTGTTTCGAGAGTTCATTCTTTCCTTTTTTTTCATTTGTTTACAAAACATTGCAAAAAATTTATTTTATTAATAAAATTGATAAAGTAGGAATTCGATGAGATGTCACAGAGAGAGAGAGAGAGAGAGAGAGAGAGACAAATCAAATTTCCTTCATTCTGCTTAGCTTCAAAAAATGTTCAGTATTTCAAAAAATTTCAAAAAGATTCATATGATAATGTACATTTCCAACTGCTTCGTTTTTTTTTTTTTTTTTTTCGCAAATTATACTCCAATAGTCCAATTTAATTTATGCAAAATTTTTATAAAAAATAAAGAGAACTTGCAAGAAGACTTTTTGATAAGTTTAATATATCATCAGATAATCAAATCGACAGTAGCAATAATAATAGTAGCAATGAATTTCATTTGAACATTGTGAATTAGCATGAAAATTAACCTGAAATCTCCCTTTCTGTTTGATTTTTAAATATTTAAAAGTGTACAAGATAAGATAACAGTTAAACTATCTCATATAAATAATAATTTTTTCAGTTGACCTCATCTTTGGATAAATCATCGTCTTATTTTTAATTGATAACCTATGTTTAAACATTATACTTTTGTAAAAGTTATAGAAAATACGGAAATACCACTGCAACTAATTTCATTTCACATTTAAAAATGCAAGCAAAAAATTAAGAGCACTTTTTTAATTTTATTTTTATTTTCGTATTTATATAATTTTTAATAATAAAAAATTTTCAATAAAATTTTATTTTTTTGTTAACAATAAAAATAGCATTAAATGATAAAAATAAAGTTAGTTAGATATGAACTAAACGTTTCTAAGACATTCATAGGATACATTATTCTGTGAAATTTCTTATCGACTACTACTCTTTTTTTTCTTTTGATGCATAAAAGTCGTAAAAATTTTCATGATTGCTTTATGCGTTTAAAAAATATGAATCAAAATGATGATAATATTAAAAACAAAAAAAAAAAAATCTAAATTTCAAACATAAAAAAATTAAAAAAAAAAAAAATAAGGAACAAGAAAGAGAAAAGAAAAAAAAAAAACTAGATAAGTAGTTCAAGTTTTTACGATGACAGCATTTTTCTTTTTCTTTTTTAAAAAAAAGCAAAGAAAAATACAGCCAAGTACAAATCAATAGCTTTACATCGAAATGAAATGACGAAAATGAAAATTGACTTAGTTGAAAAAGCTCTTTAAGTGATGATTTTAGCTTTTGGTTTATGCATCATCGTTGCATAGAAATGATGTCATAAAAATCATTTTTATCATTTCATTTTATAGTTATTTTTTTATCTATCACTTTATCAGTAATATTATCATTCTTATTTATAATAATAAATGAAATATTAATTCTTAGAAGATAATATGTGCTAATTATTAATAAAAATTGTGCTAATAATTTAGTAAAAACGTTAATTTTCAGACGAATAATCAATAAGCAGAGGAAAAAAAAAAAAACAAAATAAAAACAAAAACAACTACTGCAATTTTCTTCTCTTTTTCTTATTTGCTGGATGAGTATATTTTAATGATTGAAAATAGAAATGAGGATAAGTAGAAATAGGTGATAATGATAATATTTTTCGAACTTATCAAGCAATCAATTATGCCGTGTGCTCAGTTAAATTTAAAAAAAAAAAAAAAGTGATGCTAATGAAAGTTCAACAATATTTTTTCTCTTTTGATCAGTTCGGAATAAAGAAAAAAATTTTTTCCAACTATTTATAATTAAATAGATAAATATTGAGTTGTGGGTTTTTTGATAAAAAAGAATTGACATGAAATAATTGATATTAGTATTAGCATGAAGTCCATCAAATAATAAAAAATCAATCAATCATTTAAATAGCATTGAAATAGTTTAAACTTTAGTATCTTTTTTTTTTAATATTTGCAAAATAATCTAATGTATTCACTGATTAGAGACAATAATTTACAATGTGACTCAATAAATTGAACAATAACAATTACCAAATAATTATAAATTATATATATCACATTCTCCCAGTAGTCCACTATTTCAGATGTACAAATGGATTTGAATGATTTAAGAGATGAATGAATTCATACTTTAATTAGCACACACACATACACACACACACACACACATACACACACACACATACACACACACACACATACACACACACACACACACACACACACACACACATACACAGGTAATTCCATTCCAGTAGTAGTACTAGCGTAATTTTACGGCAACAAAGAACTTACAGCAGCAAACGGCATTGAATCCGTTGAAAGAGATGGTATAGCTGCAGAAAGACGTCGCATAAAACTTGGACGATGACCAATTCGTTGTTGCTGTTGGTGATGAAATGATGATGGCTCTTGTCTGCCAATTTTTCGGCTCGCATAATTTGACAATGGATGTAATAGATGATTTTCTTGTGGATTCGATGATAATAGCTTAACCAAATGGATATGGTTAATTTTCATCTATTATTATGCAATCAAATTATCATTTAATGCAGACAGTAATTAACTAATAATCTAACTTTTTTCTCATATGTATGATTCAAATTTTTATGTGAAAATTTTTACTTCAATTCATTTTATTCTTCAATGTAAGAGGAATAAGAAATTTAGATATAATTACTAAAATTCAATAAGATATATCTTACAATTTATATTGAAAGAGTAACAATAACTAAATGATACTGAACTACTTTTCAGTGTATTTTCAATAATTTCAAACTATAAATTACTGCCAGATAATGAATAGATGATACGAATTATATTTGATTTAATGGATGAAATGAACGTAACGTTTGTTATAATTGACAACAAAAGTCTCTGAGTGACATCGGTTAGCACATACAGTCATATGTCTGATATAATCTGTGACAAATTAAATTATCGATAAAGTCTTATCACTTTTCAATATATATAACTAATAGAATTAACATCTATTCTAATTTTAATTTGCATTGCACAGTTAAGTTCAAAACTAATAAAATGGAATTTAAACTATTTCTTTTTTTCCATACAAACATTATATATGTAAAGCAATAACAAAAGATGCACGAATTTGAAGTAAATTAATATATGAAAACTGAGAAAGAATTAAAAGGTAAATTATGTCAATAAAATGTCACCTTTTTTGTCACCAATCAAATACTCATTTATCTTTTCAGTTATTTATTACAAATATACAGTTTGACATGCATTTGATTAGTTAAGTAGTACGCTTCCATAATTTCCTTTTCTACACATTTCTATTAAATAATAATTATTACGATGTTATTTTGATTTATTTTGATAATATTATTTCAAATAACTATTTAAATTATTTAGTTGTCTTTCAAATCTATTATTAATTATTATTATTGTCACTACAATTACTCCGCTTTTTTTTTTTTTAATTTTTACTTTACTCAACTTTCATGACAAAAAAAAAAATCTGCAGTATTATTTAATTAATCAATCGAACCGTAGGTGAGGATGTTATCCGGGTAGATGCTGATTCTCCTTCGGTATCGCTTTCTGGTACTGGCGTTAATAATTCTGATTGGTGTAAATTCATTCAATTCTAATGACACTGATAATGATAACAATCGTGTTGTTGTTTGAAGCCAATATTTGACGTGTACCGTAGAATTCGAATTCATTAGAATTCCTCACAATTATATACAGACCAATAGTGGTTGTAAAATTTTTCGTTCACGTATCGAAACTTTCCAATCAATTTGAAGATTGCATTAAAAAGCCTGATGCATAGTAATATTTTTTAAAAAAAAAGAAAACGGAAAAAAAAAATGGAAAATATTCTTTTCATTGTTAAAACTATTATCGCGCAGATTTTATGAATGCAACTTAAGTAAATTTAATTGTAGTTTGTCAATTAAATATAATTTATCCCATTGATATTGTTTCTTAATTGCAATTATTTTCGAATAGATATATGTGATAAAGATTTAAAAGATGAAATAAATTTTTTAATGAAAGAAATAAAAAGCTAAAAAAAATCAAATTTAAGCAAAAATTAGGTGTGAAAAAGGATGAGTGAGCATAAATGAAATATTGATAAAATTATATGGATGATAAGAAAATATGAAACTTTATCATAATAATCAATTGAAATACAGAACAGATGATGTAATCTGTCTGAATAAAGAATAAAGCTGATATCTCTACTGATTATTCATTTTGGTTTACATTTCTCTCTCTCTCTCTCTCTTTCTCTCTTTATCCTCTTTAGGTCAAATCTAAACAATTTATCATTGATAGCGAGCGGTATTATCACTTTGTGTATCATTCATAGTGAAGGAAAAAGGTTGCATTATCAGCTAATTAAATATAAATTATCACTTTTCTCTTCCCTTCTAACAGTTAGCCGAAGAAAAAAAAAAGTGAAGAAAATATTCTATCAAATATTAAAGATTATATTTATATTCTATGTGTTATATTTATATTCTATGCAATAATTTTAGCCAAAAGATGTCATTCGTTTACATTTGATGGCTTAAACTTAAAGTTAATTTGATCATTATATTTCTATGTGATGTAATATAGTAATATTGAAAGCAAAATTTTATATCATTTCTTTTCGTCAAAAATACTGTTTCTCTTTTAACTGACGTAATCCACTTTTTCTAAAAAAAGAAAGAAAGAAAAAATGAAAAATTTGGATTGATATTTTATAAAATATTTAAATTTTAGAATATTAGCTGAATGTATCTAATAAATTTAAAAAGTTATTATGATTAAAAGATTGATACTATCACATAATGAATAGTATCATAATGAAATAATGAAATAATTATTAATAATATTTGCTTTTCAAGGAAGAATTATTTTGTTGAAAATATTATGATGCAAAATAATAATTTTTATTTTGTGGTTAATGAATAATTCTTATTTTATAAAACAGAAACAACAACAGAAATAAATGGAATAAGAGAAAGAAATTAAATATTATACAGGAATGAAAGTACCTGGAAATTTCAATCATATAATTAATAAAATAAGTAATGCTAATGGTGAATTCATTTATCAATTAATTTTTCTCATCCATAAAATGCAATTAAGAAAAAAACAAGTAACATAGATAGACAAATAGTTTTTCCGTAGTTTCCGGTTTGAGTAAAATTTAAAATAAATTTTGCAAATTCTTATATAATTCAGAACATATTACTAGAAAAAAAAAAAACTATTACTGCATACGATAGCATCTATAACACATTATAAACTGTAAGTTAAAAAGAACAATCTTATCCGGAAAAGACACTAACCGGAAAATTTATATATCACAGAATAATATTAACACACTTTCGTAGTATCTATCTAGCATTTCTACTCTATAGCAAACTTTATCTAACTTTTTTCAAAAAAAAAAATTTGGAAAAATTTTTTCGTTTCATAGAATTTCAGATAATGAAAATATTGTGGTTTATGAATTAGATAAATTATAGAATATTTCAACAAAAAAAAAAAAAACATTCGTAATACCTCATAACTATTATCTTTCGTATTTGTCTAAGCATTCAATAATTAACAAAGATGACAATTTTGTAATATAAAAAAATTCAAAAAGAAAAAAAGAATTTAACATTGCCATTCAAGTCATTCAAATTTCAAATTATTTAATAAAATTAGCAAATAAATTTACTAAAAGCTATTTCAGACAGTTATCATTCTCGAAAGAATATCAAACAATTATCTTCTGCACTTTCTAAACATTGATAATGGTAATCAGTGAGGAAAACAAAACTGAACTAAACAATACATCAATATTCCCAACTGTTAGTAATCACTTGTTGGAAGTGTTAATTAGTATCAGTAATCAATTATCAGTGTTAACAATTAGGGTAGAAATGATCATGAAGGAAGGAGCTCTTTCCCTCTAGCTTTATCATTAAATAAGCAATGATAACAATGAATATATAAATATATAAATTGATTTTGTCATTATATCTTGGCTTGTTTATGAGTTCATTTAATAAATTGATTACTCAATAATTTCAATTCAGTTTAAAAATTTAAATTAGTTTGTTTGCATTTTTTTTTTTTTTTTTTTGAATTTTCAACTGAATGTATTTCAACTGAATTCGAAATGTTTCAGAAAAACTCAAATAATAGTATAACAGGTATTGAATGATGGTTCATTTATCTAATACTGTTAAGAATTATCACTGTTTCTTCAAATCTACTTCACTAAAATGAAGCTAACTTCATTTATATGAAGTAACACCAAGACTTCAATCGATATTTTAACTCGAGTTTATTATTTATTTATTTGCTTTTTTTTAAAAAAAAAATTATTTAAAGTTATAAAAAATAATTTTTAAAAAATTATTTTTTTAAAGTTATTTATGATAACATTGACAGAAATAGCAAAGTAATAATAACCAGGCAATTATTCAATCAGTAACAATAAAACTACAAATAGTTTTCACTTGTAACAAATGAATAAGCTAATTAGGCAAGTGCTTTAATGATCAATTAACTTCAAAAGATAAACATTTTCATTTAAAATGTTTTCATTACAGCTATTTTCATCAAACTATTTCGGAAATTATACTGTGTATTTTTTTTTTTTTCTTTTTCGTTCAAAAGAATTCAGAAACAAAAAAATACAGCTGACAAAAATAATTTCAAAAAATTGAAATGAAATGGATTTCATTTTTAAGAACAAAAAAAAAAAAAAGAAAAGTTACAGAAATTTTCAAAATAACCTATACTCTTAACACTAAATTACTTTCGAAAAATTTTTCCATTGTCCATCTATTGGTCATATCATCTACTGAATTAATTGGATAAAAAATTTTTTTGAAACTGAAACAAAATTTTAAGGGTAGAATTTCTTAAAACTTAAATGCTCTTTCAATCGATGAAAAATAAATGCTACGGACAGTTTATCATCCATCTTTTTTTTTTTAAAAATGTAAATACTATAAGTGCAAACCTTAAATAATATCTTTTAACTTTTAACAAGAAATCAATAAGTTGCTCTAAATCAATATTCATCTAAAAGCTAATCTTCCTTTTTCTGCTAATTATATTTTATTAAAAGAAACAAAATCAACAGATGTGCTAATTTATTAACTGAATTTCTCTCAAAAAAGCAAGTACATTTTAATTTTTTTGAGTGTACCATTACTATTATTGAAAGTACTACACTTTTTTTTTTTCTTTTTTGCTGCTAAATAGGGAAGAAATTTAAATGGGTATGCGTATCTTCTCGTTTAACTTTTTTTTTTTGTTTTTTTTTTTTTTTTTAGTGATTATGGTGTATAATTATCTTTTCAAAAAATGAAAAGAAGCATTGATATTTTTGTCAAAATTATTGAAATGTGTAGGAAGAGAAGATTTGAGAAAATTGAAGTGAAGAATAAAAGAAAATTGCAATATGTAATAATTAATAATATGAAATAATTTGAAAAGTAGAGTTATCATAAGAAGTATAAATGAATTTCCTTTATTTCGTAAATAATTTTAAACAATTTGCTAATGAGATTTAGAATTTCGATTTGCATTGTAAAATATTATCGGATTTAAAAAAAAAAAAGTATTTATAATATAATCAAAGTGAAGCACTAAGAACATCGGTTAAGGTTAGTAACTCAGTTGTTATAAGCCAAGAGAAAGGCATGGCCATAAGATGTTTGTGACAAGTAGTCCCATACTCGGTATACCCTTGATTAGACTATCAAAAACCGATTGAAAGATAAGCAGGCGAACAAACACAAATAATAAAAGGAGGAGAAAGGCATGAACATCCGAGTGGATACCTGTCTATAAGCCTAGCATATAGACAGACAGATAAAGCAACACTTGGACTTGGCTACACGGCAAGTGGTTAGTGAAGAGGATGGGTGGAGTTGAGAAGGTAGGTAGATGCTGCTGATATGATGAATTAATGAAAGCCTTACAAATTAACTGTCCCAAAGGGAGAATTCAACGCAATTGCTTCTGGACAAGGTGGTCAAGAGGGAGAGTTAAGAGTATGATTACAATGGAATTGGCATTCCTTCCGCTTTACTTACTTACTTACTTACTTATTATGCCTAGACCGAAATAATATAGGAAACCATGGTAACAATAGGAGACTAATAACTGCTGAAAGTTACCATGGAAAAACTGGTCTTGGTTCATATTTGAAAAGGTGAAATATATACCTGAATAAGGTAATAATCATAGGGCATCATTATACTTATTCCATAATCAAACTTTATGAAATTTCGCTTTCATTAAGTCACTATCTATTATTACTATTAGAAAAATAAAAAATGTTGGACATTTCTTAGTATAAGAAATAGCAGTAGGAATGAAAAAAGTGAAGAGCAATTGAATGATTTATTTATTAAACTTGAAAATTTCGATCATTTCAGCACAATTATACACATATGAAATTTACATTCACCGAAATCATTTTTATCTAATTTTTATCTTTCTCCTCTCTCTCTCTCTCTCTCTCTTTCTTTTGAATGTAAGTCAATCAAACTAACAAACTTAATTTTATCTAACTTCACACATTTTACTGTGAAGTATATCATCAAGTTTTTTTATTTTTAAAAAAAGTAA